AAAAAAAATTACCTAACAAAATGTAGAAGCGAACAACAGGAGATGAATTCCACATTTGGATATCATTACCACTTACATGAAGTAACCAATTTGGTTCCCAGTTCTAGGTTTAGAACGAAAGCATCAAGATGTGATTGTCATTACGGGTTTGAAAAACAGCAAACTGCCTTTACTGTGTGTCTTTGGCCTTGTTGACCAAGCTGTAGCGGATTTACATAATGCTGGGCTCCAATATAAAGAAATAAATTAACAATTCCACTACCTGGTCACATTGCATTTTTATATATCTTGTCTTTGTTTGACATGTTGTCTTTACATAGCTGCTATTGATTCTTCATTGGTTCAAATCCACTAACCTTTAACTTGGTCCATATTAAGACAACAGCAGTAGTACTGACGCAGAATGTGGCGCACAATCTAAGAATAGCAGTTCCTGTATTACTCCCAGTTAACCATGCATAGAACATTTGGGCTGAAGAAAATGGACAGTATTTTTAGGCCACTCTGAACAAGACACTTTATAACCTGTAACACAAGTGCATTTATTTATTTCATTGCTCAGCCATCCATCTATTCTTCTGGAACTCCTCTGCGTTTGTGCGCTCACTCACAATTTTGTGGATTGGCGGAAGAAAATGAAAGGAATAGTTCACCCAAAAATCAAAAGGTACTGAAGATTTACTCACCCTCAGGCCATCTGAGATGTAGATGAGTTTGTTTCTTCATCGGGACAGATTTGGAGAAATTGAGCATTACATCACTTGCTCACCAATGGATCCTCTGCAGTGAATGGGTGCCGTCAGAATGAGAGTCCAAACAGCTGATAAAAACATCACAATAATACATAAGTAATCCACACGTCTCCAGTCCATCAATTAAAGTCTTTTTAATTGAACAGCTGCAGGTGTTTGTAATAAACAAACCCATCATGGTGTTTTAATTTCAAATGAATGCTTCTGGGCAAAACAGTCCATAATAACCATAATAATGATTCAGGAGAGACTTTTGACTTTTTCACTGAAGAAAGCAATGTTATGGAAAGAGGACTCGTATTTTAGCCAGAAGCAATGTTTTGAAGTTAAAAACATCTTAGTGATGTATTCGTTTATTACAAACACAGCTTTTCGCTTCACAAGACGTTGTGATATGTGATGATGTGATGTTTTTATCAGCTGTTTGGACTCTTATTCTGACGGCACCCATTCACTGCAGAGGATCCATTGGTGAGTAGGTGATGTAGGCCTAATGATAAATTTCTTCAAATCTGTTCCAATGAAGAAATTAACTCATCTACATTTTGGATGGCCTGACAGATAATGTAGACCTTCATTATGAAATAACATTGCAGTAATGACCCGCTAACTATAGCCTACATTAGGCTATCTCTTACATATGCAGTTGTGAAAGTTGATGTATTCAGTCAGTTCAAAGCAGTGGGTGCTGTGATCTGGACAAACATGTCTCATCTCACCCTCATTGAAATTCTTTCTTGCATTATGCCTTGTTTTAGTAATTGACTTCAGCGCTACAAAGCGCTTCAGTGACAAGCACGGTATGCATAAACGTGATCAAAATACAGTTAAATGCACATTAATAGCTATTCAGAATGAAGATCACTTTCTCAAATGATTGTACAATCACACAGGCTCTGCCTAGTGGCATAATGCTATGAGTAGGCCTACATTAAGAAATTACAGATAAATCTTAAAAGAAGAAGAAGATGAACTTCCGAAATGACTGCCTGTTGATGTAATTTATTTATTGTATCCAAAAATTGCTCAAACACTGAAAGTTTCAATATTTTTCTCCCTGCCTCTTTTTCCTTTCATTTAAATGACCTATTTTTCCCCTCCCAAAAACATAGGAAGGACTACAGGGTAAAATGAACTACAAGGTAAGTTGACGCTTTGTCTCTAGGCCGCTAAAATAAACCATGTGACAGCATTTTCATGTAGAGGCAATCATTTTTATATTTAGAGAAGGGTTGCATGTGGTGAGTGTGGCTATTGTATCCAAAAATGGGTTTCTTCCCTTTCCACATGAGTTTCAATCATGTCATGAGTTTGGATGATTTGGAGCAAACTGATGAAGCACTTTTAGACACATTACAGTTTAGTTAGTTTAGGTCATTGGTTCAACCTCAACTTACTCCATCTGTTCACACATTCTGTAAAAAAAAAAAAAAGTCAGAATTTACACCAACATTTTTCTGCCACAAAGTTGTTTTACCACAAAAGTGCTCTGGTGTGGAAATTCCATTTTCATTAATATATATAAAATAAAATAAAATAAGCACTTTCTGCATTTCCCCATCCATGTCTCCACTCAAGATTCCTCCCAGGTCCACTGTTTTTGCCCTGAGTATTTATTAATATTTAAGAACCAAAACAAATAAACCTGGCACATTTTGAGTGGTTGTAGGCTAAGTGCTTTTTGTCCATAAAGGGTAACACAAACAGATCTACAAAAAAGAATGTTAAGAGTTATATGAGAACAAAGAATCGGATGTATGATTTTTTATTATATTCTTGGCTAATTTTTATTCTTTCACAGATATAAAAGTTAGTGCAGTTACAACTGTGGCCGGATATATAAACTATTTAGACTAGTCTTAAAAAATGCTCTATTTAACAGCGCTATGAACATATTGCGCTTTAAAAATGTACGAACTAAGGCTGTTTAGCATTTAGCAACCTGCTTATCTCTCAACACTAAAACCACTCTCAAACACCAAGAACTTTATTTGTTATAACCTGATTATTGACAATTAAATTAGCAAATGGCGTCGAACAGTGTGGAAATAAAGAGCTAAATTAGTTAATCCTGAGTGAGAGATTGAATTTGATAGAGAGAATGTGATAAAAAAAAATATTATATATATATATATATATATATATATATATATATATATATATATATATATAATTTTATCAACATATATATATATATATAATGTTCTAGTGTTCAGAAATAATTAAATACACCCATAACTGATCCACTTGCTGAGATTTATTTATTTATTCAGTTAGTTTTTCCCACCACAGATTATGTCACTTCTTGTAGGGTGATGTCATCAAGGAATCACAAACAACAAAAAACTATTGAAATAAATAAATAAATAATCTGGAATATTTCTTAATAAATTAAATGGCTGTTTTTTTATTTAAATTTTTTTAAAGGGCTTAATTAAAAAATAAAAAGTTATTCCAAATGGTACCTTAAAATAACCTGGTATCTGCAGGATTTTTCAAATCAAATTTAAGACCTTCACACTTGCACTTCACACTTCAGCCTTTAAACAATTTTTAAGAAAAGGGATTAGTCAAAAGTATCAATTGTTATATTAATTTAAACAATTATTATCAATGAATTATTATATTAAATAACATATAAATGTATCTTAGTGTCTTAATTGTTTAGATTTTTATAATGCATTCGCTTTTTGTCGATCCACTGGTTCACATTTAAAAATACGTTGCAAAAATAGCAGACGGGCTTTTTGAAAAAGCAAATTCGTTCTCTGCCAGCAGGTGTCACTTTCGGAACTGCAGAAATATAGTGGTGTCCCCAGTAACCGCAGTACACAAAGCTGACTGCAGCGCTCAACTTTATTCAGTGAAATCACAGCCTTTTGAAGTTTAATCGTCATATTAATCCATATAGCAATTCTTGTATTTCCGTCCCCAAAGAACTCTTATAATTTAGACTTTTTGTACCATTTAAGAGTTTGCATGACCTTAAATGTAAACAATTGAACTGAAGACGTTTTAAGGACCCGCGAAAACGCTAATAAGAACATAGTCCAGTGCAAACATTTCTGTCATGCATTTGGCAAAAAGCTTTTGTTGACTATGAATTTTGCCTTTGAAATTTGAGGCAAGTGCAGCTCTGGCGTCCCCGTTGTTTGTGAGCAGCGGTGTGATGGCGATTTAAATAAAATACAGATTTCCAAACATATGGGTATCCCCTTGAACTTGGTAAAAAGATCATCTGTTTACCATCTTGACTTGAAAATACTGTTTTCATGGTCAGTTTTTCATTTATTATTTTCTAATGTTAGTGAATGTTTACATTAGAGTGCACGTCCTACGCTGAAATGAATAGGGGAGCGGCTGGAAACTAGCGACCTCTCCTGGTTGGAGATAGTATTAAAGGGGTCATATGATGCGATTTACATTTTTCCTTTCTCTTTGGAGTGTTACAAGCTCTTGGTGCATAAAGAAGATCTGTAAAGTTGCAAAGACTAAAGTCTCAAATCCAAAGAGATATTCTTTATAAAAGTTAAGAGTCAGCCACGCCTACCTAAAACGGCTCGTTCTAACACGCCCCCACATGTCTACATCACTATGTGGGAAGATTAGCACAACACCGCCCAAATGTTCACGCAAAGAAAGAAGGCGTAACTTTTATTCTCGCTGTAGTATTGTTGTTGTTGCCACCATGTCCTGAAGGCGCTGTGTGATCGGCTTTCACCGTGGACGAAGCAGAGTCCAGCCCGGGGTCGTCACATGTGGTTGCCGCAAGCATCACAATATGGCAAGGGGCGTAACATTTCCGTCACACGCTTGAGGTATTCGGCCAATCACAACACAGTGGATAGCTGACCAATCAGAGCACACCTCGCTTTTCAGACCGATGAGCTTTGTAAAGATCGACGCGTTTCAGAAAGGCGGGGCATAGAGGAGAAACAATAATGTACAGTATGTGGAAAATAATGTGTTTTTTGAACCTTAAACCGCATAAACACATTTCATTACACCAAATACACAATATAATGTTCTTTTTAGCAGCATCATATGACCCCTTTAACATCATAAACTGAAAGCAATCTTTACGTGACTTGCTTTTCAAATGTTTTAAAATTGATCATCCGAGTCTAATATGATCCAGCGGCCAGTCGCCCATCCCTGCTCTAAAGGAATGACCCGCCCTCTGCGGCTTTTGTCCAATGGGATTAAACCTGGTTTGACTGACGAACTGCAGAGTGCGGACGAGTCACGTCTCTAGATTAGATCGAGTAAACTTCTTGTTCTGAAGGAAGTTTACTTTTACAGCCGTTCATGCATTTCCACCCACAGCTTTTTGAGGGGAGTCAGCAGCACTGGAGAACCGTCTGATACAGAGAGACTCGTGCAGAATCAGATGTGCTTCAGTGCATGCAGGCGCAGGTGGACTAGCGAGCTTTAGAGAAACAGAGAGAGAGAGAGAGGATCTGGACAACTGTCTCAGCCAACACCTTTACTCTCACCTACTTCATTTAAAAAAAAAATCGAACTGAAAATTTAATTTGAAGACGAAAAAGAAAAATCTGAGAAAATAATATTGATATTAATAAAAAAAATCTTTATTTCTTCAGGTGAAGACAGATTCAAAAAGGTAAAGAATGTTTTTGTCTTTATTTTAGATTTGTATGTATTTTAGATATTCATAAAAATATTATATATATATTTTAAAATATGAATATTTATAAATATTTAGCATATATATATATATTGTAGCTACTAATACTTTTGAGCCTCTTATTAAAAAAATCATTGTTGTTGTCTCACTTTAAAAACAAAACAAAAACAAGAGTGACTAAAACTAATTGTAGTGTGTTATAGACACATGCAGCAGTTTTTACTAAGACATGCAAAGTAAACAATAACAGCTTTTGTGATCTTTGCTCCAAGCTAACCCACTTTTGGTGTCTCTGGAGTTTATACTTCATCATCTGCTTCAAAAATACCATATTACTTTTGTGCATAATATTACGACAGTACCAAGCTTTTTGGACAAATACTATGGAAAAATCATGTTTCTTACCATGGTAATGTTTTACTTATACAGTATACAGAGTTTAATGCTACAGTAATGCCACGTTTTCGGTCATGTATGCTAGCGTTCTTTGAAATACCTTGCACTACCATGTACATTCCATGGTACATATTAAAGTACCATTGTGTTATGATGTGATGCCAACATTTTACCATTGTACTTCTACATTAATTAATCATAAATTAAATCAAAACAAAACTGTGGTGTGTTGGTAAATAGGAAAATATTCTCTTGAGGATACCTGATCACTACAATTGTATCTGCCTACGTAGGCACCCTCACTCTGGAGCGGCCTAGACAGTGAAGCTCTTGTGTTTTTCTATCCAACCCTTTTTTTTTTTTTTTTACCTCAGGCTTTTATTACCATGGTGACCATGCAGAGTGCAGGCTTGACTTTTTGCTATAACAAAGGAGAGAAGTTGGGAGAGGCCGGGGAGTAGGTGAACACATAGTAACCAGATAAATGGCTTTATCTAGGCCTTGGCCAGGGACTGAAAGTGTAGTATGCATTCTTCTGTTGTTGTGGTTTTGCATGCTGCTGTAGATATTGAGATTTTCTTTATTGCATTTTAAATTATTTTAAATATTATATTTTATTGAAGACGTTTACAAATATGACATTACAACTGAAAACATAAGACATTATAAATTTGAATAATTCTTATTTAAATTTTTTAAAAATATATATATTTTAAATTATTTTAAATATGATATTTTATTGAAAACAGTAAAATCATGACATTACAATTTTAAGGATAAAGACATAAATTCAGAATTATTTAGAATATTTTTACATTTTAAATATATTTCATATTATATTTAAAAATTTTTAATTATTATATTTTATTGAAGACCGTAAAAATCAACTTGAAAGTCAACTTCAGAACTTCAATACAAGGACTTTCATATTACATCTAACTTTAAAACTTTTTTAAAAACTTTACAAATTTTGAGCATTGTGTCAGAAAGACACACCTGTTTTTTATGCAAAAACAAACAAACAAAAAAAATAAATCAGTGGATTGTGCTGTATTTGATTACAAATGTGTATTCACGGTAACATAAAAGTACAGCTAACGTTGAAATGTAACCAACATATTTCCTCCTATAGTGTTAGACATATTTTATAACATATTTTTGTTGAGTACTTTTTGATGCCTATTCTGTCTGGTTTTGCCCTGTTTGGGACCTCACCCCTGGAGCATATGATCTGAAATTAAACAAACGCTGTATTTGGCCAGAATTTAAATCTATGCATTTCAAAGTCAGGGCTGGACAATGGTTGAGATTGAGTTTAACTCCCACGGTCGGGCCTGTAAACAGCGGCTTTGTGTGGACAGACTCTGATCCCTGGTGCCGATGTCTCCACTATACTCTCTGTTGTTACCTCACACTGATGAACAGCACAGTTATTTCAGGCTTGTGTTTTCGGGTAATGTCATTTTGGCCTGTGTATTAATTGATGTCTTTGCTGATGTGCTGACTTAAGACATTTAAAGGGATAGTTCACCCATGAATGAAAATCCCATCATTATTTACTCACACTTGTCTTGTTCCCAGCCTGTATACTGGTTGTTATGTTTTCCAGGCTGCCCCCTAATAGTCAACTAAACTTTAGGCGACGAGAAGAGGCTTGGTCGACCAAAATTTTATTAGTCGCTTAGTCGCAGAAAAAAAAAATCCACAGGAAGTGGTGAGGTCACGCAATCCGTGACAGACAGATCGTTAATGGCTGGATTTTGTAGTAATACAGTAACTTTACATCCAAACGCTCGCCTATCATTCATCGACCTCAAATATGGCTTATATCTGAAATATGTAAGTAGTAGCAACTTTACATGGCCGCTCAATCTAATGTTAACCTAGAAAAATGTGCGCTATTTAAGTGTCTGTGAGGAGTGTGAAAGCTGAACAGTAGCGCGCTCACAGCATGACAGATGGAGGCGCCGGTGCAGTCACTTGCTCTTAAAATACTCCGTCATTTTGGTCATACTATAAGAGTAACAGATAAGAGTAATACATCTTTTGAATTTGTAAAGCCTCTACGTTTCTTTGTGTGCACTCACTATAACAACAAAACTTTGCGCTTTTGTAAAATAATGAAAGCAAACAAGGATGCGCTTTCTGCCGCCTCGGTCTCTGTGAACTTCAGCGCGAAACTCCATGTATACTTGCCTTAGAGACATGAAAAATATATCTAATAAAGACTGAAATGTCTACTTTCAAATGAAACATTTCAAATCTTAAAAACCAAATATTCACAGATTATGTAATCCGTATGAAACTTGCATGAAGGCGCATCCACTACTGTGGAGATGACGAGTCAGTGTCGCCAAATTCATCTCTTAAGCCGAAAACACTAGTTTATCAATAGATTATTAAAATGTTAATGCAGTTTAATTTTACTGTTTTTCCCTGACACATTCATCATCATTACTTCTGCCGGTGTGCTGTGACAAGTTTTATGTGTGTGCTTGAGCGCTTATTAGGCTATGTAGGCAATTGAAGGCTCGTGATTTAAATGGTTTATTAATAAACGTGCGATTAGTCGACTAATGTTTAAAATGAACGACTACTAGTCGACCAGAAAAATCCTTAGTCGAGGGCAGCCCTATTTTCCAGGATACACAAGGATTGTCTGTCAACCTTCAAAAAATAAATTTCTATTTTGTATTTATTTATGCTTATGGTTATTTATGTATAATATTCCATTGCAGCTCCTGTTTATACACAAAAGTGACAGCAAAGACATTTATAATGTTACAAAATACTTTCTATTCATCAAAGAATACTGAAAGAAAAAAATATTTATCATGGTTTTAAAAAATATGCAGTGTTTTCTCTAGTTTTGATCAAATAAATGCAGCCTTGGGGAGCATAAGAAACTTATTTCAAAAACATAAAAAATCTTACTGACCCCAAACGTTTGAACGGTATATGTGTAAATTCATATGATTTATATAAAACTCACATCATTTTTTAAATGTAATTTAATATTAGTTCATTAATATGTTTTTAAAATAAAAGCATTTAATAAATTTTTCATTTAATAATTAAGGCAGTTTTTTTTTCAATTAACAATTACTTAAATTTACATCTGTTCCTTACATAAAGCTATTGTGTATCTTAGACTGGAATGCTTTTTTTGTTTGTCTTTTGATATGTCTTAAAATATTATTTCAGAAATTTAGCTTGTCTTAAACAGTAAATGAGGAACTTATGACATTTTCTATCTGCCTGTAACACCCAAGTGATGATATTCATGTTTATAAATTAATTTGCTGCTTTTTTTTAGCAGGTCACTGGACATCTTTGAGAGATGTTTGAGAAACAACCCTACGATAGTCCCCCGATGTACACCCCACCTTCCAATGGCTTTGGACCACCAGGAAGCTTCCAAGACCCAAGGAGTGAATTTGATCCCTACCCTCCAGCTCCAGGATCTTACTATGTGGGTGAGGAGGTACCACAGCATTTCTACAAATGGTTCTCCCCTCCGGGAATTGTGAAGATTATGGTAGGAACCGTTATAATCCTCTGCCTGGGAATCTTTGCCTGTGTGGCCTCGACTCTGGTTTGGGACATGCAGTATGGATTAGGTTATGGATCTGGACATTCTGGCTATCCTGGATATGGAAGTGGATATGGATACGGAAGTGGATATGGATACGGCAGTGGGTATGGATACGGAAGTGGATATGGAGGCTACTACAATTCTTACCCGACCCCTTACTCGGCAAAGACCAGCATGATTGCCGTCGCTGCCATAAACTTCATCATCGCTTTGGGGTTCTTTGCAGCCAGCTTCTCCAAAACAAACACGTTCCGCAGCAGGAAGTTCTACCTGGTGGTGCTTGTTGTCTGTTCTATAATGGCAGTGATTCAGGGCATTATAAACATTGTGTACATTGTAGGAGTGAACCCTATGGCCCAAAGCTCCACCAGCTCATACTACAACCCCATGCTTATGATGTGTCAGAACCTCTATGGCAGCAGTGTGACAGGAATGGGGGCCGGCTTTCCCATTTATAACCAGTACTTGTACCACTACTGCTACGTGGACCCGCAAGAGGTACCATTTAAAGTTACAGGATGTTTCAAAATGTCTTTAGACACTACATTTAATTTATGTTTTCTTTAAAGTCTACAATCAAAGTATCGCCACTGACCATAATTTCAACTCCCCCAGTGTGTCAATCCGTACAGGAAGTGCTTTTTTTTCATTAAGATTTTCAAAAACATTGTAAAAGAAATCTATTTGATTTGAGTGGTTTAATCCAAGTCCTGTGAAGAGATGTGATCACTTCATTCGATGAACATATAATTTAGGCTTTTAGTCACATATAAACATCGATCAGCGGATCTAAATAGGGCTCATCAAATATGGCAAATGGATGCTCGAACACAACTTGATTGACATGTGAAACAAAACTTTAATGGGTTTGGACCAACAGGGTGAGTAACTGATGACAGCATTATTTCCTTAAATCTATATATATATATATATATATATATATATAATATGTCTGTAGTAAACATAATACATATTATGTTATTAATAGCCCAGAACTTTCATTTCAAGATAGAACTGATCATGAGAGTGAGATGATTATTAAGATGATTATTGTAGTATACTAAATCAGTTTAGTATGATAAATAATTTAAAGTGACGTGTAGCCATGTATGGTATCCCATACTCTGAATTTGAGTAGAGTGGTGAACACACACACACCCAGAGCAGTGGGCAGGGAGCAGTTGAGGGTTCGGTGCCTGGCTCAAGGTCTCACCTCCGTCGTGGTATTGAGGGTGGAAGAGAGCACTGTACATTCACCTCCCACCTGCTGCTTTTAACTCCTTGGGTGGATGACTATGAACGACTAAACTTTTGTAATACCAAGACAGTTAGAAAGCATACTTGAATTTTTTTTACAGTTCGAAGAATAAATTGAGTGTTTAGGTATAAACACATTTCTTAGAAGTATTTTTCAATGGCTGAGACAGATGTAAGTGTATATTACTGATTATTATATGAATATTTAAAGAGTTATTTATTTCAATAATTGACTTAAAAGGACAGGGAAAAAAAATGACAGGCTAAATGCCAAATATGTATTGTATGTACAATATGAATATAATTTTAGGAAATATATTTCTCAGATTGAAAATATATTTAGTTTAAACCTTCAAATGCCAAATATATTATTATATTATTAAGCCTTCAAATAAATTACAAAATGTACTTTTGGGTAAATGCAAAATGTTTTAAATATAGTTTGTACAATATAAATATATAGGTAGAAAACTAGAAAAAATATAAAAATATGTTAAAATGGTTAAAAATAATGAAGAGAAAATATAAGTTACTAAACATTTATCAAAAATATATTTTTGTATTTTATCTATTTTAGCAATACTTTTTGGGACATATTTTGAAATATTTTGAAAAAATATATATATGAATATATATTTTTGCCATATGGGATTAGACGCAAAACATCTGAATTTAGATGAATATTTATTTACACATTATGTACTGAAAATGTGACAAAACTGTCAGTACATTCTGGGACTGAAAAATACTGTTTATCAGCCATGTGGGTATTGTTATAATCTAATGCTGATTGTTTTAAAAATAGCCAAATATCAGCCAATTTATCATCTTAGCTAGTATAGTAATCACTGTCTGTTCCCATTGCATTTATGGTTTTATTTTTGTTACAGAACAGTGTGTTTAAGTGATTGGGTGAGTTTCTTTATCACCTCTTAGTGCATGGAGGAAGAAACACATGGTCACTAATTGAGTGGCAGACCCAGATCAAAATGGCATGAAGTGTTTTGCCTAAGTATCAGGCTTATTGCTAGTCTTTGGAGCAAACAGCTGCAACACCAAGTACTTTGCAGGGGAAATGCCCATGCATTTAATTGTCCAAGTTATATACTGTATATAGGCTCTAGTAGCATCCCAGCAACCGTCCATGGGACAAGCAGTTTAATTCTTCTAAATAGTTTGTGATAGTCAATCTAGACCTTTTGTTTTGGTAGACTGGGAGCGGTTTGAAAGTGTGTTTTGAAGTCATATATCCTTTAATAGTTTCAGTGGCCTGTGCGACACTGGTGATAATTCAGTCACAAGGTTAAATGTGTTGCTGATACGGTCTGTTTGTTAACAGCCGGCCTAGTTTCGATGTGATTGATCATTAACCAAACTGAGAAAGTCAAGTGGCTTTTAACTCCTTGGGTGGATGACTATGAACGACTAAACTTTTGTAATACCAAGACAGTTAGAAAGCATACTTGAATTATCATTTTTTTTACAGTTCGAAGAATAAATTGAGTGTTTAGGTATAAACACATTTCTTAGAAGTATTTTTCAATGGCTGAGACAGATGTAAGTGTATATTACTGATTATTATATGTATATTTAAAGAGTTATTTATTTCAATAATTGACTTAAAAGGACAGGGGAAAAAAATGACAGGCTAAATGCCAAATATGTATTGTATGTACAATATGAATATAATTTGAGGAAATATATTTCTCAGATTGAAAATATATTTAGTTTAAACCTTCAAATGCTAAATATATTATTATATTATTAAGCCTTCAAATAAATTACAAAATGTACTTTTGGGTAAATGCAAAATGTTTTAAATATAGTTTGTACAATATAAATATATAGGTAGAAAACTAGAAAAAATATAAAAATATGTTAAAATGGTTAAAAATAATGAAGAGAAAATATAAGTTACTAAACATTTATCAAAAATATATTTTTGTATTTTATCTATTTTAGCAATACTTTTTGGGACATATTTTGAAATATTTTGAAAAAATATATATATGAATATATATTTTTGCCATATGGGATTAGACGCAAAACATCTGAATTTAGATGAATATTTATTTACACATTATGTACTGAAAATGTGACAAAACTGTCAGTACATTCTGGGACTGAAAAATACTGTTCATCAGCCATGTGGATATTGTTATAATCTAATGCTGATTGTTTTAAAAATAGCCAAATATCAGCCAATTTATCATCTTAGCTAGTATAGTAATCACTGTCTGTTCCCATTGCATTTATGGTTTTATTTTTGTTACAGAACAGTGTGTTTAAGTGATACAGTACATAAGTGCTATGGAAGAGAACAGGAGTCATGTTATGTGTGTGTGTGTGTGTGTGTGTGTGTGTGAGTGTGTGCTTCACTCAGTGCTATTGCATTATTGTGAGTCTTTCTTATTTAAAAAAGAGAAGCAATTCAAGCAATAAAGGTTATATAAGAAACAAACATTTTGTAATAAAAAGATCTAGGGAACTTTAATTTAAATATCATCAATTGAAATAAAGTCAGATGCCTGTGCGTCTTCTCATAACAAAGAAAAATAACAGATGAGATATCTTTGAATATTTGGGTTGAAGGGTCCTTGAACAGTGTTGTAAATACAACTTAACCACTGATTTCTAGTCATGTCCTCTTTTGGAAAGCCAAACAAAGTAGTTTTGCTTTCACAACGAAACACTGCATCACACATGGCGGCCTAGAGTGAGCGGAGGCCTGCGGGCTTGCGGCAACCACATGTGACGACCCCGGGCTGGACTCCACTTCGTCCACGGTGAAAGCCGATCCGGCGATCCACAGCGCGAAGTTGATGTATTTCCTCAGCGACCAGCACGGATCAGCTCTAGGCATGACGAAGCGGATATCGTCCTCTTTTGGAAGGCCAAACAAAGTAGATTCACTTTCACAACATCTTCACAACATGGTGGCAGCAACAATACTACAACGAGAATAAAAGTTACACTTTCTTTCTTTGCGTGAACATTTGGGCGGCGTTATGCAAATCTTCCCACATCGTGACGTAGACATGTGGGGGCGTGTTAGAACGAGCCGTTTTAGGTAGGTGTGGTTGACTCTTAACTTTTATAAAGAATATCTCTTTGGATTTGAGACTTTAGTCTTTGCAACTTTACAGATCTTCTTTATGCACCAAGAGCTTGTAACACTCCAAAGAGAAAGGAAAAATTTAAATCGCATCATATAACCCCTTTAATTGTTTTTCCTAGACAGATATACTAAGATTAAATGAGAACAAATGGGGACCTCCAGCATTTCAGAAGAGATCAAACACTGCTCAGATTTACTAAGATACCAAAGTTTGCAATCAAAAGTCAACTCAAACATCACATTTTTCCAAAATCATTCATAACTCTATAGCTCTGTACACTTAATGTGTTACAATTGTTTCTATTTTTAATTCTAAGAATTTTAGAAGACATGTCTGAGACGAGGTTGATAATTAAATAAGCTTTAAACTGAGAATCCTGAGCTAAAAATGAGCAAACTCTAGTAAATCTTTCGTCCGGGTCTACAGGTTGTTAATGAACCCATAGCTGGTGGTGAAGGCTCTGTTCGGGTGGGGTTTGATTTTGGATTAAGTCCACTGGAAACATAATTACTACCATCATGAGACTGGTCTGCCTCTCTCTGCCCTGGTGCTTTCAGTAAATCTATGAGCTCTGACAGCGTTCCAAACATTCCCTTTAAGAACATTTCATTCCTTGCCTTTCTATCTCTCCTTCTCATTTTTCTGGTGCAAAAGGAGGTCACGAGCATGAAACGTCCCTCTTTTCTGTGTTCTCAAGCATTCTTTCCCTGCTTATGTAGCGTGATCATGGATCAGTGGTGGCAGTAGCTCATGCAGGGAAAGCATTGTTGGAATTCCTGGATGATTTGGGCTCTTCTACACAGTGGCTTTTCCCCTTCTCCCCAGCTGCAGGGAAACGCTCCTCCACCCTCTTTCCTGCTGCGTCCTCCCTTCTAACACACACACACACACATATACCTTCACGCAAAACCCCTTCAGAACAAAACAAATAATTCCGCTGACACGCACACCTGACTTCATTGTTTTAGCATTGTACTGCTCGGAATTGTTTTCCTTATGGTTTTTACTTATATCCATACAGCCACTACTTCTTTCACCTTTTTTCTTTAGAAAAAAGTATTAGAAGTCATATATTGTGCCAGAAATCTAAACTATTGGCATTGTGTGTTTGTCACAAAACACTGACTTACATGCTGAGAACATCCTCTGAAATCAAACTTCAACAGGAAGAGCAAGACCACTTTAGCTTCTTATTCCCTGCGGTCTTTCCTGTACAGTAGCAGAAGGAAGATAAAGTCTAAACAATGGATCTAAAATGGTTTCTGTGTTGCTGTAATGTTCTGTACACAATGCAATTTCGAAAGTCTGCGATCAAGACAGATTTATGATGTTGTTAATAGTGTATTGTTTGTGCATTATAGTAATATACATAACAGTTACTTACAGTCAGTCATAAGCTTTTACAAGTAAAACGTATCTGTTATTTTTTATGTTATATTAAGTCACTTTTCCAAACAGATTTTTAACATTTTATTTTTCAGATTTGCACTGCTGATCAAAAGTTTTTAAAGAAAATGTATGTGACAAAAAATCTGTTTCAAATTAATGTTATTTTAAACTTTCTGTTTGTCAAAGAATCCTAAAAAACGCATTGCTTTGCGCACAAGTATTAAATGCTTTTCAACACTGATAATAATAAGAAATGTTTGAGCACCAAATCAGCATATTAGAATGATTTCTGAAGGGTCATGTGACACTGCAGACTGAAAATAAAGCTTTGTCATCACAGGAATAAATTACAATTTGAAATCTATTAAAACAGAATAATAATATTAATATATAATAATAATTATAATAATATTTCACAATATTGCTGTTTCTACAGCATTTTTCATCAAATAAATGAAGCCGTGGTGAGCTTTTTTTCAAAAATATTTTAAAAATCTTACCGACCCAACCTTTTGAATGGTATTGTATGCTTAAATACAGCACAGAAAAACAGATTGTTGAGTGATAAAGAGTGTGAAGCCATTATGATTACACATTTATTTCACATTACATTTATTATTACTGTGTATAACTGCATTGTATATCAATCAATGCAATACAAAAGTTTCCTCAAGGCTTGGCAACAAAACTTGCCAAGCCTTGCCAAGCCTATAAGCAGACCTGAGGGAATTATTTAAATGATACAATAATGTAAGACCCTTACAGATGCTACTGTTCATCAAACAAAAGAGACTTAACCATTTCAAATTCATGTTCAAATATCTGTTATCTGCTTTTAGTTCTTCTCACTTGCTTGCTTTATTGTTTGTGATGACTTTTCGCCTTTCATTATCTGAAATGTTGCTTCCTGATGTTTTGCACGTCATGCTCTCTGTTCAGATATGAATCAATGTTTGCAGACTTTGTACTAAACAGTTTGTTCCTTTTTCAGGTCAACCATGTACAGGATGGACAGAGCGTGCAGGAGGCATCCATGGTGTTTTCAGAGAAGATGGCTCCTGTTCTGGCTTCGGCCCCCAGTGTCGGCTCCATCCCCCTAAAGACTGGCAGTTTCTTTAGCTCTGAGTCCCACAATGTTATCGGGTGAGTGATCCGACCCTGGGATAGCTGGAAACTTTCAAGCTGAGCTCCATGTCAACAGGAGCTCAAATATTGCATGTCCCTGCTAAGGAAATGCTGGAGCTTACTTTATTGCTTAAGGCCTTAATAAGTCATTCCAGTTTTACATACTGTACACTACTGATCAAAAGTTTGGGGTCTTTTATGCTGACCAACAATGCATTTATTTGATCAAAAATAGAGTAAAAACCTATTTTGAAATATTTTTACAATTTATTACTACAGTCTTCATTGTCACATGATCTTTTAAAAATCATTCTAATATGCTGATTTGGTGCTCAAGAAACATTTATTATTATCATTGTCAATGTTTTTTTCTGCATTTATTTGAAATAGAAAGTTTCTGAATAATATAAAGCTCTTTATTGTCACTTTTGACAGTTTAATACATCCTTGCTAAAAAAAAACATTTTCTTAAAGACCCCAATTTTTTGACGGCAGTGTATAGTTACTCCTGGTTCAAACCAGTCAGTGGCATTTTTTTTTTTTTTTTTTTGCGACCTTGCTTAGCTAATGTTAAATCATCAGTGCTACTGTGCTTTCAATAGTTGTCTGGATCATTAATCTTGCTAATGGTCTAGTCATTAGTTTCATGAAGTCAGGTCAGATTACACCAAATATTATGTGTCTTGGCATGAGATCAAACTTTCTGCATTTTTTTTAATCAGATGTTCTTTCATGATAATTTGTTTTTAAATTATGTATGTCCCTTGTCCTGTTCCATTTTTCTATATACATTGTTGGCAAAAATCCCTTTTAAGAGTAAAAACTATGTAAAAGATGATTGGCTACTCAATTTTTTTTTTCATTTAAGAAATTTAAAAAAGAGTATTCTGTAATTTGACCTAACATGTTTATTGGAAAACACAAAAACATTACAATGAAGAAACATATGGCTTATTAACACAGTGAAATGTGAGACACCAACTTGTGAGGACATTTGAAATGTGTGAGCAAACGACATTTTCTCTTATTTCTGTCAATGCTAAGAACAGTGTTTAGTAGCCTAAATATCATTATCTCAGCTAGAAAAGCATTGTACTTATGAAGCGTCCTCACAAATATTACTTCTTATATGCATTTTCTCATTCAGTATCTCCTACAATAACTGCACAGTCTTGAACTTACGGAAGTTTATTTCCTCCACGGAATAAAAAAATTTTAAATCTCAGTTTATATCTCACAATTCAGACTTTTTTTTCAGAATTGGGAGATATAAAATCAGAATTGCAAGAAAAAGTCAATTGCGAGTTTTTTTCTTCTTAGAATTGTGAGTGTACATCTCACAATTCAGATTTTTTTTCTTAGAATTCTTAGATTCCAAAAAGACAGAGAGAAAAAACAAATAGGATTCCGAGATGTAAACTCGGAATTCTGAGAAGAAGAAAAAAGATTTTGCAATTGTGAGAAAAAAGTCTGAATTGTGAGATAAAAACGTAATTCATTTTTTATATTTTTATTCAGTGGCAGAAATAAGCTTCCATATAAACCATTTCTCTTTTTGGATAAAGTAGTAACAATTTTTCCACCCACAGTTACCCTGAGCGCTCTTTTAGCCGCCCATCTCACTCCACATCCCCGTCTGGAGAAGTGAGCTCCAGCCCCTCCGACCAGACAGACACCATCCACAAACCGTCCGCCTCCAGGGGCAAGAAGTGCAGGAGGAACCCTGAGCTGGACGAGTCCCAGTACGAAACTGAGTGCACAACGGGAGGAGAGACTGCCAATGATTTTGACGAAGATCTATGGACACGGTGAGGATTTGTTGTGGTTCAGGCTCAGGGTTAGTAGCGCACTCCTAATTTTTTTTGGGAGATAATCATCTCTGGTAGGCATGTCCACATGCTAACATAATAGACAAAATTTGGGTTAATGTGTCAAAGGTCTTTGCATATGTATGCATGTTTATATGTGTTGTTTGATGTGATGAGTTAAAAAACAGATGTGGTTTCACTCATTGTTGGACCACGAGAAGAAAATCAGGCCTCATTTGTTAACATTACTGCATTAACTAACATGAACTAACAATGAACTATATAGAGTATTCATTATCCTTTGGTAAAGTTAGTTATACTTGTAATGTTAAAATACTTGTATTCACTGATTTATGGCTAAATATTCTCACTATTTTGCTGTTTTTTGACACAAATGAAAAATACTGGGTTGAAAGTTTGAGTGGCCACTTAGTAACAAGTTGACCTTAATAAAGAGTTAAGGCATGGTCACATTAGCAAAATTTCAGTGTATACTGGTACATATTTCACATTAGGGAATTACTCCAAATAGTGGTATTTTACATGAGCAAAAATTTGGCAAATGGAAGTATTTCACATAAGTGATTTTTTTTGGTAAATAGTAGTATTTCACATTAGTAAAATTTCTGTGAATGATAGTATTTCACGTCAGCAAAATTTCTGCAAATGGTTGCATTTTACTTTAGCAAATGTCTTGGAAAATAGTAGTATCTCACATTATTTTATGCATGTTTATATGTGTTGTTTGATGTGATGAGTTAAAAAACAGATGTGGTTTCACTCATTGTTGGACCACGAGAAGAAAATCAGGCCTCATTTGTTAACATTACTGCATTAACTAACATGAACTAACAATGAACTATATAGAGTATTCATTATCCTTTGGTAAAGTTAGTTATACTTGTAATGTTAAAATACTTGTATTCACTGATTTATGGCTAAATATTCTCACTATTTTGCTGTTTTTTGACACAAATGAAAAATACTGGGTTGAAAGTTTGAGTGGCCACTTAGTAACAAGTTGACCTTAATAAAGAGTTAAGGCATGGTCACATTAGCAAAATTTCAGTGTATACTGGTACATATTTCACATTAGGGAATTACTCCAAATAGTGGTATTTTACATGAGCAAAAATTTGGCAAATGGAAGTATTTCACATAAGTGATTTTTTTGGTAAATAGTAGTATTTCACATTAGTAAAATTTCTGTGAATGATAGTATTTCACGTCAGCAAAATTTCTGCAAATGGTTGCATTTTACTTTAGCAAATGTCTTGGAAAATAGTAGTATCTCACATTATTGAAATTTCTGCAAATGGTTGTATTTCACATTAGAAAATTTCTTGGTGAATTGTAGTTGTTCACATTAGAGAAATTTGCTAAACTTTTCAGATTTGCAAACTTTTGGCAAATGGTTGCAACAGTGAAGTTTTTGACGAATGGTAGTATTTTCACTTTTTTCACTTTATTGAAATTTTTGTGAATGGTAGTATTTCACATCAAGGAAATTTTGGTGTGCCATGGCGTTTCAAATTAGTAACATTTTGGCGAATGGTAGTATTTCACATTAACGAAATTTTATGAATGGTGGTATTTCAAATTAGCACAATTCTAAATACCACAGACCATTTTCAAACCAAGCAGCTTTTTGTTTGTCAACACGGCAAATTTGCATGACCATCTTGAACTAACTTGAAATCTGGATTTGGAATATTTATGCCCTCAGTGATTGTGCATATTCCTATTCAAACGACTGGATTTAGCTGGTGAATTTTCATGTGTGCACCTTTACTCGGTTCACTCCAGAGGGATTGTTGCTAAAAAGTGTTTCTGTCTATCCGTTTCTTTGGATAAAAGTTTATTAAATAACCACTAAATGACTATTGATCTAATTTATCTTAAAGCTGAAAATACAAGTTGACTGCTTTCTGTTTCATTCCCAATCAGTCTTTATCCAGAGATCACATCTGATGCCCAGCGACACGAGTATAAGAAAGAGTTTGACTCGGACCTCAGGACCTATAAGGAACTGTGTGCTGAAATGGATGACATCAACGATCAGATAAACAAACTCAGCAGAGAGCTGGACACACTTGAAGAGGGCACGTCCAAGTACCGGGTGAGCGACTGAAACATTTCAGATGACTACTTCACCTCCCTGTTGTTCACATCCATATGACTTTCTTTTTTATCTCACATTACAGGCTGTAGCCGAGGAATATAATCGTCTCAAAGACCTAAAACGGGTGAGTCATGGTGATAAAACTGAAGTATGACTGAACATCTGACTCATGTTCATAGTAATAGATGCTCTGCTTTTTTTGATGTTAATATGAGGCTTTCCTTCCCTTATTCTCTCTGTTTAGGTGGCAGATTATCAAAACAAGAAGCACCAATGTTGCAAACTGCGCCACAAGCTTTTCCATATGAAACGAATGGTTAAGATCTACGACCGCCGTCAGTAATAATGAGCTCCATTAAACCACCACACCTGCTCTCCTTGTTAAACACTTCTGCATTTAACTGACAAAGCCTTTAAATGACTGTGTGACCAAAGTTGACCTAAACTGCTGTAACCATGGCTTCACCCAGTGCGTATGATTAACCTGAGCCCTAAAGATGATTGGAAACAAGGACCAGAGATTCCGAAACCGGTCCTTCCAAAGTCTTTCCATTACCTGGAACTTGTTCTTTCACTGGAAACATCTGCTTTTTTTTAGAGAGAGTGACTTCATATAGCCTGTAAAATGCCATAAAGCATAAAAATATTGTTGTTCTGTTTTTTTGTTGGGTGCGGTTGTGAGTGCTAACTTCAAGGTCAGCTGATTACAGCGGTGCATGTGTTTGTTGGAGGAAATGTACTTTGGACAATCCTCTCCAACTGAGTAATTTGCACCTGTATTGGCATCTATGCTATCAGTTTCCTTGTGTATGACTGTAATTGAGTTGTGTGTTTTACTGTCTGTAAAGGTGTAACTGTGGGGCACTGCTTGTTTTCAAGTCAGGAAACATAAAAGATTTTGTTTCGAGGTGTGCTAGAATAGTTCCCAGAAACAACTGAGGTATCTAGTTGGGCAGTTGTGTCCTAATGGTTAGAGAGTCGGACTTGTAACCCAAAGGTTGTGGGTTTGAGTCTCGGTACTGGCAGGGATGGTAGGTGGGGGGGAGTGAATGACCACTCGTGAGATCCTTGAGCAAGGCACTGAACCCCCAACTGCTCCCCGTGTGTGTGTGTGTACTTCGATGGGTTAAATGCAGAGGACAAATTCCAAGTATGGGACACCCTACTTGGCCACATATCACACCACTCACTCATTTAAACATGCAGACCATTACAGAATATTCTCTTTTTTAACAACTGACTGCCTCAGAAAAAGAAGAAATGGAATTTTAAATCACAAAGATGTTTATATCTCATTGCATTTGATTCATTTCGAAATGTGATTTTCACACTATTTAAAACATTAATAGCTGCTTTTATCTAACTAATCAAATATCTATGCAAGATCAAATATTGAAGTTCTGTTTGTTTTGTAAGGTTGTTATGGACAACAAGTAAGTTTGTTCAGTTTTTTTTTTTACTCTAGTAAAATATTTTGTACGAAAACATTTAAAGTGGTACAGGGCGTTCATTTTCGGCTGTTAATGAGATAATACTGTTTGTTTTTCTCACGTGCGTAACAGCATTTATTTTCATCTGTACATATTTGTTGTCCTTTCTATTTTCAAGAAAGTTTTGTATTTAAATTTGACATGTTTTTAAAAGTATAGCTAAGGCTGTAGTAAAGAGTATTTAGAGGGAAAAGTTTGGTTTTCTTTTATTAATACAGAACAGAAAGAAATGTAGTGGTTACAATTGAATGCAAGTAAATTGAATTTAAATAAATTACATTTGAATTTAAATAAATTTAATATTAATGTATTATATGAGATCATGTATGTATTTACTATAATAAATAAAATGCCTTTTTCGGTTTACGACAGTAGAGATTTAAGTAGAGTAAACGGAGTAAAAAAAAGGTTAGACAATAGCACCCTCTGCTGGATGTCTTTTAAATAACAAGGCAAGGAGAAGAACTCGTGCAATTTCGGTAATGTTACGGAAACATACGATAAGTCTTTCGGTCTCGTTCGGGAACGTTACGGAAATACACGATCGGTGATCACTCCGCGACAAAAGGCTAATAACTAAATTACCAAGACGTGTGAACGCCGATTGGTCACCACACTCCTGTCCTGCCTGCGGAGGCGAGGGCATTCACTGAACCAGCAACGACATTCACAAGCATCAAATGAGGTTGTGATGTAGAAAAACTTTCTGAGGATATTTCGAAAGGTTAAACAGAAAGGTATGTGACTTACATCTTAGTAAACTTTATATTCTGTCATTGGCAGCGGTGCACCTGCTATATTGAATGACTTTTGGATATGCGCACACCTGCGTAGCCTAATATTATGACTGCATTGCGCTTCTCTGAGTTTGGAGTGTATTATGACATCTTCATTCATCATCTGCTTTTTTGTCATCTGGAATAATGCACATTCTGCGTAAACCTAACGGACGTATAAGTAGACTATATTATTTGGGTTTTCTAAATGATAGGTTTTCTCCAATTAAATGGCCATATTAACTATGAGTTGTATTATTATTATTATTCATTATTTGTATTAATAAAATGCAAATACGTGATATTCTTATTTTAATGACAACTATGGATTCTGTCTTCAGCAGCTTTTTTAAACTACATCCGACACCACCTACTCACTCCTGCTCAAAAATCCACACAGGTCTGTACTGGTTTAATTCGCTTAAAGGATCAGAGTGGTTTCGAGAGATCTGCACCTTGTGCTCCTTCACGTGGTCTGTGTGTGTGTGAATCTGTCAGGAGCTCTTTAATCTGTCCCTGTTCCCGACCTCTGCCAGGCTGAAAACAACAAGTGTGAATTTATAAAAAAAAAAAAAAACTTTACTGATAGATGGAGTGGCTGCTAATGCGTCTAAGTGGTTGCTAGGGTGTTGCTATGCAGTTTAGTGAGTGTTCAGGTTGTTTCTAGGGTGCTGTTGATGTCTTTTAGGGTACAAAGCAAAAATAAAGGTATTGTTTATTTAAATATTTATATTTAAAACTGTCAAATGATATGGTGATATTGAATTGATCCTATTTTATTTTCCATTCTGTTATATAAAAAAATAAAGCTTATTAGGTCAATACAGGACAAAGGTCTTGATCCAGGTTTGGTGGAGGTAACTCTAGTCTGACCGTTTCTTTTTTCTTTTTTTAGAATAATAAGTTTAAACACACCACCAGTTTTTCTAGCCACTAGCCCTAGCGTCCATTAAAAGTGCTCTCGCTGCTTCCTTGGGTCTCTCTGGACCTGTACCCACTGTCGTAACGAGCCAATCAGAGCAGAGCCGCAGAGTGATCAAAAAATAATGCGTTGTTGCAGGTTGAGTTTGCTGAGTTTTGAAAGTAAGGCTTTTTGCAAAACCCTCCCATCTTTCACAGCTGTTACACTTAAACCTTTTGCTGTTTTCTGCTTTCCATCTCTTTCAGATTTCTAATAGGGTCACATCAGCCTGTCCAATATGATGAAAGATTGCCTTCAGTTTCTCATTGAGCCAGCCAAGAAGCTCAAGTTTCGTCTGAAGGTACAGCGGGTCATTCATTCGTTCATTCATTTGTTGCATCAGAGGATTTTTTTTTTCTTCAGTAACTCAGTGAAACTCATTATATCAGGGTGGTTTTTTTTCAATTGCAGGCACTTTTGTTAAATATTATATAATTGTGTGTATTTGGGATAGGCTACATAAAATGCTAGCTATGAACTTCAACTATTTTTATCAAAACAAACTTAGTTGTGGCGTCATTTACACCACAACCATCAATATTTCCTGCTAATAAAGTAGTGTACTTGTTTATCAATGAGACATAATGAAATGTGAGACATGTGGAGTATGAGGAAAATAAGGAAAATTAAGATAAATATCATTTGTGAACAGAATATATTTTTGCCACTTTTATACTGAATACAGTAATTTACAGTCAAGCCAAAATTGTCAAAACATATGAAAAAAATAGTGACAATATTATTTAATATGAAAATATGATATACAGTAATTGTATTTAGAATAAACTACATCAAATGTGAGGCACAACTACAGGCTTTTTTGTCGGACGAGTTGACTTCTATAAAAATTAGTTTAATTGTGGCATCATTTTCATCACAACAATTTTTCCTGCTTCAAAATGAAATGTGAGATGTGGCATGTGAAAAAAAAAAAGGAAAATTAATAAAAATATCTCTTGTATACTTGAATAGGCTATTTTTATTCTTTTAGATTTTTATTTTGACGATAATCAATTCCAGTCAAGCTGTAACTGTTGAACTTGTGCAAAAAATTTAAAGAAATATTGTTTAATTATTTATTAAATATGAAAATATTATTTAATTGGGTATTTAGGATAAATAAAATGCTAGCTATGAAATTAGTCGGCAGTTATAATCCAGCCCATAATGTAACAATACAAAATTTGAAATGTGGTGGAGATGTTCATGACTTTAAGAAAAAAATAATAATATAGCATTTATAAGTTTAGCTATTATATTCCTTGGTGGAGCTTTAGTTACTCCATAATTCCCAAATGTCTGTGCAGGAGACGCGGAAGAGAGTGAAACATGTAAAGAAAGAGCCATTAACAGAGAGTCAGCTGTTTATAATGGAGCTCGCGCGAGAACTCAACAGGATCTGTCAGGTAAGACAAATATATTGTTGCATTGTACCTGCTGTACCTGGCTTTTCTCTAGCTGTTTAGAATCAGGGTCAATAAATAAATCCACTACCATCAACTACATTTCTACACACATTTGCAAACTCTGTTTATCCCTGTTGGAAGCTCTTATGCTGATGTCTTTCAGAGGTCAGATATTCTGGCTCACATCTGGACCGGAGAGGACGTATGGCCTCCGCACGCCTGTCGAGAGTTCATTGTGGAGACCGCCAACATCCTGGAGATGAAGGTTAGAACCTGAGCTGAAATGAATCACAGGCAGCTGAATTCACTGAATTGTACTTTCACAAATTCAACACACTTATATGTCCTGTTTAAGGTTTATATCTTGTAAGCTGCTTCATCAAGACTAAAATAGAATTTTCTGGAAAATTATTATTCTGGGAAGAAAATTATAATAAAATATAAATGTAATTTGCTATGTGTACGTATAACAATTTATGTGTAATTCATACTGAAAAATGAAATTATTCATATTTTTATGCAAACAATAAAACATTAAAATGGGGGAAATTCATTTGAATTCTACTTCTTAGTTCAGAAATGTAAAAAGCATTCTCAGTTCATTTCTGAATGATGCACAATCCTGTTCCTCAGTAAATATAGTCGCCTTCCTGTATTCATTTAGCTGCATCCTACAGGAGACACACTCTGTTTTTCAGACAGCTGTTGTTTCTCAGGATCTGCATGGCTTTAATTACAGGCTGATGTTGGTTGGTTTAGAGACGTGTGTTATATTTAGAAAAAATCCTGCTTTAGAAACAAACTGCCACCAGTCCCCATAGTAACCAGCTAGTCTGTTTCTATCAGGCTGACTGACAGCTCCAGTAGCTTAAGGGTTTAAAATTCTGTTAGTTTTCAAAGGATCAAGCTTTAATCCTGGTTTGTTTTTAAGTTATAGTATAGTCCACAGTACTTTTGTGTCCTTGAGCTGTAGTTCGCTCCATGGTGTCCGCCTCGTGGATTTAGTGTACTTTAAAAAAAAAGCTTGTTGTCAGCACATTGCATCTGAGAAATCAAAGTAATTGATTTTTCAGACATGGGCTGTTTATTAAAAAGGTCACTGCATCATAAATGTCAGCTCAAGGGGCTCAAGTTATTGAGGCAATTATTTTAGAGTTACTGATATTGATTCAAGAATACAGTATGTTGCGAAATTTAACAGTTTTGAGGGATTTAGATCAGAATGTCTCTATATGTGGTTATGTCATAGAGATGATACAGGCATTCAACTGGCCAGATGTAGTTTATATTCATTCCAAAGCCAGATTTCAATATTCAAAAGCACCATAAAAATAACATAAAAGTCCATAACTTGCATGCTATATTCCAAATCTTCAGTTTTTTTTCTCATTATGCAGGAAAATATTGAGAAGCCCATGCACGTTTATGCTGATCTGCATCCAGAAAAGCGGGACTGGAAGAGTCATTTACTGAGCATTCTGGAGCAGGGTGGAGAATATGACATGGGCCCGTACAAAAGGATCATTATGGACTGGACCAGAGGACAGCGCAACAGACACCCGGTGTGGAAGTTTCAGAAAATACATCTGCAAATTCACCACCAAAACTAACTTCATGAGGCGCATTCTGGGATGTTTTTCAAACAGTATTGAAAATGTTCATACGTAACATGGGGGAAAATATATATATATATTAGGGCTGTCAAAATGAATGCGTTAATAACGCATTAACGCAAATTCATTTTAACGGCACTAATTTTATTAATGTGCGTTTAATGCAGCGCGCACTTTCAGGGTTTCCGTGGGTCCTTAAAGTCTTAAGAGGTCTTAAATTAAGTTGTATCATATTTAAGGCCATAAAAAGTATTAAATGGTTCAAGAAAGTCTTATTTATGATTTCAAGAGGTCTTAAATTTGGGGAGGGACAGACAAGAATTGCGATATGGCTTAATGTGACGATTTCATTGAATAAATATGAGGGCTGCACGTTTCAAAGTCCAGTGCTGGGCTGCTTTGTTTACAGTCGGAGAAACTGCTATATTTCTGCCGTTCCGACAGTGCCATCTGCTGGCAGAGAATGAATCTGCATTTTCAATAAGCCTGTCTGCTGTTTTTGTTCAGACCAATGCAAACATCCACCCATGTTTTTATGCAGCAAACACGCAGTTGTAAATGTGAACTGGTAGATCGATAAGAAGAAAATGCATTATAAAAATCTAAACAATTAAGCCAGTGAAATATAGTTCTATGTTATTTAATTAATATAATAATTAATTGATGATAATTGTTTAAATTAATATAATAGAGACTTTTGACTTTTGATTAAATTTCTTAAAAATGGTTTAAAAACTTTTTGTTTTTGTGAAAACCTGTATCTGAATTCTTTATGCTCTATGTTGAGTATGGTTTCACTAATAATAAATATACATTTGCATAAAGCAATAAAGCACCCATATTTGTCCATGCCCATGTTGATTAGAGTATTAAAAACTTGAAAAGTATTAATTTAAGGTAGATTTAGACAGATAAAAATGTGGGATTAAGTTGCGATCAATAGCAATTTAATATATATATATATATATAAATATAATAATATATAAGTCTACAAAACTAATTTCAGACATTTAAGCATAAGCCTCTAGATCAAAAGATTTGTATAATAATATAATCAAGTGTGTACAAACTTTTGTCTGGTAGTGTTTTTATAGGCCTCTATATAGCAAATAAGTTTATATCCATAAATACATTAATGGCTACATTTTCTCAGGAGTATTTGTTTGTGAGTTTGTAATTTAATATCGGTCCATGCTGTAAATTAAGCATCTTACTCACTGTATAGGTCTTAGTCTCAGGTTGCTCTCTGATTAAGAATTAAGATATTAACCTTGCTATGATCTTCTTGTCAGACTGGGTTGATTACAAACGACCTCACTGACTGACCTGAGAGAGACATGCACAGCCCGCTAAGCTGTATAAATTAGACTTACCACTGATTTCTATTGTTTTTCAGTTAAAATAATGACAGATTTGCCAAACACTCACGGCTTACTGCATACTACATGGTGTACACTAAAAGAAAACATGGTTCTTTTAGGAAATGTTCACTGAAAGGTTCTTTAGGGAACCGAAAATTGTTCTTCAGTGGCATCGCTGTGAAACCTTTATTTTTAAGAGTGTATGCATTATGCAATAATACCTGAATAAATGCAGTTTGCACTTTCATATACAAAATTGTTAAACAGCCTAAATATCATGGTTGAGGCAGATGATTTGAAATGCCTTAACACTCTTCAGGGAGGTCAGCCTTCAAATGGTTAGCTATTAGCTGTCACACATTAACCTGGATACGAGAAAGCATTTAAACATCAATAAAATTACACACCTTTAAGTCTATAGGGACATGCATCCTTTCAATATAGCATTACCTTTCTCATGCCTAATCAATAATTAATTCCTTTCTCAGAGTCGTTTTTATTTTCTTAGGAGTAATTTGTGTGTAACTCAATATAAGTAAATACTGTTAGTGAAGTATCATCTCTCTTTCTCTCATTACAAACAACTCCACTGACCTGCATTTGACACGTGCATAAACACAAATGAATGTTTTTGGAAACTTTGAATGTGGTTGTTTCTAAAGTGTTATAACAAACTATGTTTTCTTCTGGTCTTTCTCTCTCAGCATGGTATCTGGCCGGGTGAGGTGGTGTTGATGATGCTGGATGACGTGGAGCTGCAGTGGAAGCGGGGTCACCTGTCACACCTGCAGTCTGCCTTGGAGATGCTCATAGGGGTCGTGCTTGGGGAACATCTGGACAAGGTGTGATGCCTCTAGAATCAAAAACCACATTCAAAGACTTTCCATAAATTCAAAAATAAATTACATTTTTAATTTATTTAATAACCAGCACCACTGACATTAAGCACACCTGTGTTTTTGTAGGAACTCATTCCAAGACTGTGGCTGGTACAAAAACAAAAGACCAAGAAGATCGGTGAGAAGGCAATGACATTAATGTCCAAGAATTGATTTTGAAGGATAGTTAACTACAGATGCTGTTAGTGATTTCTGCTCCAATAGTGGCACCATTAGGAATTTCAAAAAAGAAATACCAGATACCAATATATTTTATACAATATATTCCAAAAATCACACACAGCAGTTTTATTAGTTTAGACATGAAGTTGTTTATGATCAATGTGTCTTGAATAGGCTTTCTGATAATTTCTCTTTCTCTCGCTGATCTTCTTTAGATTGCACTGGCTACATTCCACACATAGGTGAGAGATTATTGGTTCATCATTCAAATAATTAATAATTTAATGCCATTTAAATGCATTGACATTCAGCAGCTATAGTCATCAAGGCTGTCAATGCAATAGTTTCTTTTATTTCTATTATTTATGTAGTAACACAGAAATGTTGCTTTTCTTTTCAGTGTGGAACTGGATATGTGATGCTGCAGGTATGTGTCACAGTATATATATACAAACACAAACACACACTCACACAAACACACATGTTTACTTAGCTATCTAAATGGGGACATTACATAGACTTCTATTGTTTTTATATACAGATAGTTAAACACTTTTTAACCTAAACCCCTGCCCCTACCCCTACCCCTCACAGAAAACTTTCTGCATTTTTACAATTTAAAAAAAAAACGGTTTACTTTATTTTTATATATGAGGATGTCCCCAAATGGAGGTTTTTGGCAATTTTGTCAGGTTTTGCTCTCACTTTTGGGTACAAACTTGTTTGTAGGTACACACACACACACACACACACACACATATATATATATATATATATATATATATATACATACACTCATTCCAAAGTCTGATCAAAAATACAGTAAAACAGTATTATTATTAAAATATTTTTACATTGTTTTCTATTTGAATATATAGTAAAATGTAATTTATTCCTGTGATGCAAAGCTGAATTTTCAGCATCATTACTCCAGTCTTAAGCGTCACATAATCCTTCAGAAATCATTATAATAATAATATTTTGTAGAAACCTTGATGCATTTTTTATAGGATTCTTTGATTAATGAAAAATGAAAAAGAACAGCATTTATTTAAAATATAATTTTTTTGTAATATTATAAATGTCCTTAATATTACTTTTCACTAATATAATGTATCCTTGAGGTTTTAAGATAATTAATCATTTTATTATATATACATCTATATATATAATCAATCAAACAAATGAGACAAAAATATTTTCTTTGTCATTTGTTTATTCAGGAAAATGATCCAATATTACAAATCTGTGAGTGGTAAAAGTTTGTGAATCTCTAGGATTAAATGTTAATTTGAAAGTGTCAAGTCCAGCTGAAAATTCGAAAATCCGAAATTCGAGTCCATCTGTTCCGAGCTGTTTTCAATCCGTGAGAGGACTATCAGGTGTCATTGCCTGCCCTGTTTTATTTAGAGAAAGGATCTATCAAAGTCTGATCATGTTTGTGCAAGTGAATCATGGCACAAACAAAGGAGATCTCTGAAGACCTCAGAAAAAGAGCTGCTGTTGCTCATCAGGCTAGAAAAGGTTACAAAACCATCTCTAAAGAATTTGGACTCCACAAATCCACAGTCAGACAGATTGTGTACAAATGGAGAAGTGGTCGACCAACAAAGTTCACTCCAAAAGCAAGACGTGTAATAGTCTGCGAGGTTGCAAAGGACCCCAGGGTAACTTTTAAGTAATTAAAGGCCTTTCTCTCACTGGTAATATTAATGTTCACGAGTCCACCATCACATTTCTGTCATGACAACTCTCGGATGGATTGGCATGGTAATATACATGACAATGTTAATGTATTTGGTCTTGGCGGAATAGATATGCTATGCTGCTGCTGCTGCTGCTGTGAGCATGTAAGAAATATTGATGCTGCAAATATGACATGCATGAAAGAACCCCCATATAGCATACATGAATCACCTCGTAGCAGATCTATACAGGTGGAGCTGGGGAAGGTGGAGGATTTCTGAAGCAAGCTGCAACTGCTACGGAAAGCACTAGTCATATATTTGAATGTTGAGCAGTGAGCTCATTGGCTACCGATACAGGAGAGAACCAATCAGCTGTGCCATGTGATAATGATGTCATTAGGTCAGATTGAGTTAGACCTATCGGACTGTGCCATCTAGAGTTTCATGCCAGAACTCTGTGTACATATACAGTATCTCACAGAAGTGAGTACACCCCTCACATTTTTGTAAATATTTTTTACTTTTACATGTCTTTTCATGTGACAACACTGAAGAAATGACACTTTGCTACAATGTAAAGTAGGTGAGGGGTGTACTCTCTTCTGTGAGATACTGTGTATATGTGTATATATATATATATATATATATATACTGTTAAATTTCTTGAAAATCTTCTGTGATACACCTAAAGACTTAAATCTAACTGTAAGTGCTACCCTGTTTTACAGTGGAGGTGACTTTTGACCCAGAGACGGCCAACCCTGCTCTGGTTCTGTCCGAGGACTGCAAGCGCATGCAGTGCGGTCTGGAGCGGCGTGAGGTTCCCTGCAGCTGGCGGCGCTTTGATGGCTGGTGGTGCTGTCTCGGCTCTGAGGGCTTCTCGTCGGGACGCCGGTACTGGGAGGTAGAAGTGGGCGACCGTGATTGGCGTCTTGGGGTGGCCAAAGAATCGGCTCTCTGCAAAGGCTACAGACCGCTCAACACTCAGAGCGGATACCTCACCCTCAGGCTGGAGCGGGGCTCTGAGCTCAAGGCCCTGACCATACCGCCCACACCCCTGCCCCAGTCGCTCATCCCGCGGAGGGTGGGGGTCTATCTGGACTATGAGGAGGGGCAGCTGTCCTTCTATGACACCCAGAAGCGTGCGCACATCTACACATACAGCAAGAGGTTCACAGAGAAGCTTTACCCAGTGTTTGGGACAGTGGAGATGGTGCGCGAGATGGTGATCAGGCCTTCAGACCTGAGGGAGCAATGTCTCTGTAAGGGACAATGCCTGTTTTGCTAATGTACGTAATGATCGCACAATCCTCACACACATGGATATGAAGAAATTACAAACGCCATAAAACATTCATACAGTAATTGATCAATGCTTACAAAAATAGAAGTGCATAGAAGGAATTTTAAATTTTTTTTAAGAGTAGCTAAAGCTGTGATTTCTGCACCACTAGCAACACAAAGGAATTGTAAAAAATACTGTTGTTAAACAGTCTGCGATTGGTCAGACAAACAGATAGTCCCAGATAGAAGACGTATTTTTGTCGATCAACTTTGAAGTTAGCATGACCCTGATTCCCTTGAAAGAAACCCAAATTGTTTCTGTGTGAGATCAGTTGGCATGCAGTGTTTTCACTTTTTTGAAGAAATCAACCTCCAAATGGTGTAGTCTATGCATATTAATCTGGGATAGAATTGATTTTAACATTGAAAAAAAATCATATACTTCAGCTATGCTTTTCTTTGTGCAGCTACCAAAAAAAAAGATGCTTCAAAATTCTAAGGGCTTGTTTGCTCATACTTATGCATGAGCGTTGGGAATGTGTTCATGACTTCATCTTCATGTTAAAATCTTAAGTGCTTTTGTCACAATTTTTTCTGCGATTAATTCAGCCTAATGTACCGTTTCCATTCAGACTTTTTGTATACAATTTATTTTTTGTTTTTATTTTTTAATTTTAAGAAATTGAACTTGGAAAGTCTCCTACTGACTCCCATTTGCTAGAATGTTAAGGATTCAAAATGAAAGCGACAACGATTACATCATAATATTTCTAAATGATTTGCATACTGAATTGTGATTGTTCTTTTTTCGTTACCCATATAATATGTCAATTTCCATTGTTTTTTTAAATAAAATAAGATTATAATTAGCCAAATCCAATGCCTAAAACTGAAATATTGTTTTGCTGACCTCAATGCACTATTTTCCCAGTTTTAGCAAGTGTTGGATATAATCACGTTCAACTCCATGTTTGTTTGTTTATGTTTGTCAGTAACATAAGAAAGCATATAGAGGGCAGTGTCCATACTTTCTCCTCCAATCAATGTAAAGCATTTCAGTAGCTCATTTCAGTGTGCTAAAAAAAAACTGATTGCACCTAAATCTGTTTCTAATAAACAAAGCTGACACACGAAGGGTCGACTGTGGTAGGATGATTTATTGGTAAGGGGAACTAATATGCAGTGAGGCGTTTTGCATACTACGGCTTGAATATGATGGTGAAATGCAATTTTAATATAAAACTCTAAAAAAAGATATTTGTTCCCAAGACAAAAGTACCATACAAATTATTGAAGGCAGTAAAAATGTAATTACATAGGTGTCAGATTGGTAATCTTTTCCATATTGCCAGTAGTGTACAAACCTGGCAGACTTTATATGTAATCTGAAATACAGCCACAGGCCTGAAGTTACAACAGCACATCTTGCAACCAGCCAATAAAAAAAACAAACCTCAGTAACATATTTACAATCCTAAGAATCGAGTCCATATGTGTGCACTCATGTGTTGCAACATTTTATGCAACCCTTAACAAGTAAAAAAAAGTTGATTTAGGAGGAAAAATACTAATGAGTTGAAGTATACACTCTAAATCAAGAGACATGGCATATTTGATGTGAAAATGCATTTAAAAAACCTACATGCTCAAAAAACTTGATACATCTTGAAATTTGAAAGCAACATCAATAATATAAACATCATGATATGAAACCTGCCAAATTCAAACCTCATCAAAATGAATGCAACATAATAACGTTGCCACAATGCCACAAACATCCATAACATTTCTCGCAAACACTACATGAAACATGGCCAAAAGTTTTAACAAATACCTTTTTGGAAGTGATAAGATAACACTAAAAGGTTTTAAGTCTTTACATTCAACTAAATATCAAGGCTTGAAGACTTTGGTCTTTATGAGCAATAATCCGAGGAATCCAAGAACTCAGCCGTTCTCATGCTCACATAAACACCATATATTGTGCACATTGGTATGTGAACTTTTCTAGTTTGACTAGAGCGTATGTTTATACTGCTGCTCTGCCGTGTGACTTCAGCTGAAAGCAAAAGGAAGTTAGATTAGGCCTCAAAGTACTGTCTCTCCACCTTCTTAGTGACGGTGCTACTGGACATCACTCCTCTCTGCACCATCTCCACCTGCCGCGTGATGGTGCCGCCCGACTCTGTGATCTGTCTGCTCGACGACATCATCATACCTTCTAGAAAAAACACACATCAGACACAGTTAGAAAGTTAGAAACATTTATATAACAATATAGTCTTTTATTTAGAATTTAAATAATTTAAAACAATAAAAAATTGGAATGATATAAAATTAATATCAACTGCTTTTAAGTTTTTAATAACTTTTTGTATAACTTTATCATACACAACATATGGTATTTCCAGAAAAGTTAGACGATTGATATACCATCAACAGAAATATGTATTTAATTTAATAAATTCTATTTAATATTTTATAATGATATTAGTAAAAATTTCCACTGTGGTCTATTTTACTATAAAACACTAAAACATAAATAAAAATCAACAGGTTTGTTTTCTGAAGACAATGTGGTGAACATTTTGTGGAAAATCGCATTGCAAAATTAAAACCTTTTGATCGCTGTACTTAATCGATTTTTTTTATTTGATAAGAATGTATGTATTTTACATATCACAAAATAAGCCTAATAACCCAAAATGAATTGTTTTGTAAATTTATATTAAATATTATAAAATAACTAATTTTTAATTACATTTAATAAAAATTGTCGTGAAACTGTTAATTTCAATATTTTGTTGTTTCTTTTGATGACTGTTCATTTGTGAATTTTTTTTTTACATATTACAAAATAAGCATTTTTAGTCAAAATTAATTATTTAATAATTTTTTGTGGGTTAAAACATCATGTGGGGCCAGTTTAACTGAAATTCTAACTCATTCATAGAAATGGAACAAATTCTTCAACTGTGAATTTTGCCCAGCCCTGGAAGATATAGTGTGTGTTGGTACCTGGAGACACGAAAGGTTCTGAGAACATGGTGTGTGAAGTAATCTCTGTTGGTAGGTTGAACACCTCTCTCTTTGTGACTGAATGACTGTTATACTGTGACATGGAGCCTGAGGAGGACGAGAAAAGAAAAGGTTAGGGTTAGGTTAGTTCCAACAAAAAATTTATCATCAGTGATTTTCCTCAAAGACAATATAAAAAAAAAACAATATACAACAGGAAATAATACTGGGCAAGACTTGATTTCATCGGTTGTGATCTGACTGCATGATAAAAAGTAGGCTATGATATTATTGAAACACTAAACATTTAACTGTGAAAATATATATCTTAAGGCCTAAAGCATTAACACTGTCATATCACTCTCTCTCTGTGCCACTGTTGTAAATCCTCGCATACCTCCATCTTGGGATTCGATGGTGATGATGCCCTCTCGCTCCGGTCCAAAGCCCTGTGTGGTCTGGGCTTGAACTTTGAATTTGTACGGCATGTTTTCTTTCAGGTCAGACACAGTCAAAGAAGTTGCAGCATTGCCATTCACCTGGAAGGAGCGAAGATCTCCTGCAAGGACACCAAACACAGTTTTAACAGGGAACTTAAAGGCCGGGATACACCAAGCCGATGGACGACCGTCGGCAAGCGTCTGTCTGGATAGTTTTTTTTTGGTGTGTTCCACATGTCGGCTCTTGATGTTTGCATGATTCAACATGTTGAATCGGCGTCGGGGCCATCAGCGAGAGTGAGAACTCTGATTGGATGCTCAGTTTACAGAATGAGTCAGTGACTGAGAATTAAAGCGAAAGTGATGAAAACGAGGCAGCGCTAATAGAAGGCTGTACTAATGTTACGTGATCTTTACCCAGTGTTTGGGACGGTGGAGATGGTGCGCGAGATGATGATCAGGCCTTCAGACCTGAGAGAGCGATGTCTCTGTAAGGGATTCCAATATGCAAATATTTTCAAAACATGAGTACTTAAAATGAAGAAAGTTATCAACATAACTTGTATTCAAAATGGTAAGCAAGTGTTGCTTTGTTTACGTTTCGTATATCTGTGTATATATCGTATATCCTTGTTCCAGTTTCTCCTTTTGAATGACGAATATATACTATTGGTAGCTGCTGCTATAGACAGTTAATTCCTCTCCCGCAGGTGCAGAACACACGTGTTAGTTTGCAGTCAGCTGTACTCCGAGCGGTGTGTTCAAGTGCAGCTTTTTGGTCCAGACATCGCCGACGCGAGGTGACAACACTGTTGGATTTCATCGCCGCTAGTTCTTTGAAGTCGGCTTGGTGTGTCCTGGACTTAAAGAACAGGATTTGTTTTTGATTATTACATTTGTGACTACTCTGGACATTCATATGGATTCAAAGTTCAGATATGTCAATTGTCAAATAAAAAATATGCCAAACAGAAAATAAAGAGGTTGGTATCTGACCTCCACCGTGCAGCTGTTCACAGGTAACCACATAGCCCAGGATGTCCCCATTGGGTTTGCGGGGTTTCTCCCAGCTCAGCTGCAGTGTGTCTGGACTCAAAGCTGTGAAGATCAAAGGTCCTGGAGCGCTGGGAGTGCTGAGTGTGAATGGAGATCCTGAAAGACAGCACACACACACACACACACACACACACACACACACACACATACATGTTTTAGTAAATAGTAAAATACACACAATAATGTTTTAATATTAATACTTCAGGATAATGCCACTGCTATTGCTGGTAATAGCTACTGTGCCCCCTTTTGGTACCATAAAAAACAAGAATTAGTATGAAGGTGCTCCACCTGGCATTGGGCTCAGTGGACTCTTGGGGTCGACAGCAGACTCAATGGTGATGACTCCCTCTCTCTCAGGACTCCAGCCCTCTCGACTCTGGGCCTTCACTTTGAAGATGTAGGAATGGTTGGGCAGAAGATCCTGAACCACCACAGAGTTCTGAGCAGGAAAAGAACAGGATTTGTTTTTGATTATTACATTTGTGACTACTCTGGACATTCATATGGATTCAAAGTTCAGATATGTCAATTGTCAAATAAAAAATATGCCAAACAGAAAATAAAGAGGTTGGTATCTGACCTCCACCGTGCAGCTGTTCACAGGTAACCACATAGCCCAGGATGTCCCCATTGGGTTTGCGGGGTTTCTCCCAGCTCAGCTGCAGTGTGTCTGGACTCAAAGCTGTGAAGATCAAAGGTCCTGGAGCGCTGGGAGTGCTGAGTGTGAATGGAGATCCTGAAAGACAGCACACACACACACACACACACACACACACACATACACATACATGTTTTAGTAAATAGTAAAATACACACAATAATGTTTTAATATTAATACTTCAGGATAATGCCACTGCTATTGCTGGTAATAGCTACTGTGCCCCCTTTTGGTACCATAAAAAACAAGAATTAGTATGAAGGTGCTCCACCTGGCATTGGGCTCAGTGGACTCTTGGGGTCGACAGCAGACTCAATGGTGATGACTCCCTCTCTCTCAGGACTCCAGCCCTCTCGACTCTGGGCCTTCACTTTGAAGATGTAGGAATGGTTGGGCAGAAGATCCTGAACCACCACAGAGTTCTGAGCAGGATTGTTCACCTCGATACGCTTTACCTCACCTATGAGAAGAACACAATACAAGACAATGAAAAAATAAACAAACGTCAAATAGATATATAGAGTATATGGAAGTAAATTGATAAATTATATTCAGACAGACAAATAAATGAACCGGTTCTAAAAAAAAAAAAAAAGATGAATTAATTCATTTGGTCCCCTGCACTGCATTTTGTCTTTTATAAATGTATATTTTAAATAAATGGTGTTCTATTAGTTGCATTTATTGTAAATGAATATTTATTGCATCTGTTTAATATAATTATAATTAATAAATAAGTTCAATGCTGTCTGATATGTTTTGTGCCTAAATAAATATTGCTCTTACTGTAAAAAATAAATGACATTTTATATATATATATATATATAATCTTTCCCAAAAAGACTCATGGCTGTATTAGATCAAAAGGGTGCTTCTACTAAATACTGAGCAAAGGGTCTGAATACTTAGGACCATGTGATATTTCAGTTTTTCTTTTTTAATAAATCTGCAAAAATGTCAACAATGCTGTGTTTTTCTGTCAATATGGGGTGCTGTGTGTACATTAATGAGGAAAAAAAAATTAACTTAAATGATTTTAGCAAATGGCTGCAATATAACAAAGAGTGAACAATTTAAGGGGGTCTGAATACTTTCCGTACCCACTGTATATATATATATTCATTATTTATTTTACACCTACTAAAAGATTTGCATTTAGTTTAACTACTTTACATTATGAAACGCTTGTCTCTTAAACCCCTTTCACACTGCACGTGTGAAAGGATTATGATTGAAGAGTAGGATTGAAGCAAGAGTCAGCTAAGGATTCTTGCCTGAAAAAAGTGAACACAAAAACGTCCCGGGATTGATTCCGGGATCGTTCCGGTTTGGGGACCTAGTAACATTGCCGGGATCAGTCCCGGAACGAGCCCTGTGTGAACAAAAGCCAGAACCAATGCCGTAAAGGGTGCCGTAGTGATGACGCATGTTATCGTGCAACTCTTTTACCAGGTGCTTTTAAGGCAGATCAACGTTCACGACGAAGAAATTTGTGCAAACTGGTATAAAGCAGAGATCAGGGAGCTCCTCACTATCCGTGCTGAAGCTGAGATCGTTCGCCAGATTAGTGAAGCGGTACGCGTCACATTACACTTCACATTGTAATGTCAAGTGTCTTTACGCAATCTTTAAGGGATCCCGGAAAATCACTGGCAGTGTGAATGAACCAAAATCAAACGATCCCGGGACAAATCACGGAACACATTATCCGTGTATTTTCCGAATCTCTGTGTGAAAGGGGCTTTAGGAAGTTACGGTTTCAAAGTACCCTCTCCTGATGCACTGCTGGTTGTTTCCGGGTTCACTCACCCTGAAGAACACTATCCAGGTTCTGCAGTGCATCGTTGATATCTTCAGACTGAGTACGAGCTCTGGAGCTCAAGCTGTAGCTGGTAGTTGTACTCTGGCTGAAGTTAGAGACCCCTGAGAGCCAGCCAAGCCATGGCAAGGTGGGATACGGCAGGGTGTGGCAGGAAAGGGTTGGCAGGCAGCCGTCGCATGACGAGAAAACAGCGAGAGAAAAAATGTGTAGAGAGAACACAAATGGCATAAGGGGGAGAAAAAGAAGAGTAGGATTGAAGCGAGAGTCAGCTAAGGATTCTTGCCAAAAGCTGCACCTTGCGAGGCATTATAATCAAATTTGATTGGCTTTGTGCACAGAAATCTTTCAAGCTCAATTTACCCAAGTTGTCCAAAATTCCACCAGACAGGTTTCCCATGACGATAGAATCCCTCACTCCATCACCATCTGTGTAATGCCTGTTCTCAGAACGCTTCCTCAGAATCACTTCCTCTTTGAGAAGTCCGCCATCCCTAAGATCATATCCGTGTGTCGTTGAGCCTCCTGATTGTGACAAAAAATAACGATTGGTTACTGAGCTATGGAAACAATTTATTCAACAATTTTGTTTTTAAAGCATAAGTACCAAATCAAAGAATGATTCATAAACCCTCAAATTAAAATTATGTCATAATTTACTCACCCTCATGTCATTCCAAATGAATATGACGGCCTTACTTTAATGGAACACAAAAACAAATGTTCTGAATAATGTTCATGCTGCTCTTTTCCAAAATAAAGACCAGACCAGAAAGAAAATACAAATTGAAAGGCAAATAAGTGCTATTAAACTATCATAAAAGTGGTCCAAATGGCAATACTATCCAAGTCTTCTGAAGCCATACAATTGCTTTGTGTGAACAACACTTTAGCTTTTTTAATTAAGATTATCGGTGAATCTGTAAGATTAAAAAATATATATATTTTTTAAAGACGTCTCTGATGACCAGGTATCTTTTATTTGGTAATACAGAAATTAAACACTAATATTGTGAAATTTTATTACATTTAAAACAATTGTTTTCTTTTTTAATATATTTTAAAATCTAATTTATTCCTGTGATTCATTACTCCAGTCTTCAGTGTCATGATCCTTCAGAAATCATTCTAATACGCTGGTGCTTTTTGTGTTACTAGCAAAATGAAAACAAAAGTAATTATTTATTTTGAAAAAAAGAAAAGAAAGACGACTTGGAATATAGCACACAATATATTGTGCACATAGACTACTTTCATGTTTTATGGCGTATTTGGAGCTTGATAGCCATTGATCATTCTAGGTACATTATATAGTAAGGCATTATGTGTTGTGTTCCGCAAAAGAAACAGGTTTAATAATACAGGTTTGGAATGAAATGAGGATGACTAAATCATGACAAAATTTTTAAGTCAACTATTGTTTCCTCCGATACCTTTGCCGGAAATGTACGTTGTGGTGCTGCTGTTATTTGTTACACCGGGACGGGGTGTGGAATGGCTGTACGTGGATGAGGAGGAACTGACGTTGCGGGAAAGGGAACCGCTTCCTCCTGGGAACAGGAAATTCTGGTCCCACTTTCCATTTACAAACTGATCTGTAAACATATAAGAGAAAAGACGATTGCATGAATTAGCACAGCAACGTTAGCGCAACTGAATTCACAGTTGAAGTCAGCGCTCCAGAATAGGCCTTTGAACAGTGGCCCAGAAGGAATCACCTCAACAGACCCAAACTGAAGAAAGCCTCTTAATTCAGACGAAGAAACGCTATTTTTGTGGTAGCAATGGATTTAGCAGTCTACTTAAAGATGCCAATTAGCACTCTGATACTCTTGATGCCAATTAGCACTCAAGTGACTTTGCTAGCACAGCTTTGGGTTGACGTTGGGTGTGGATGGCATGCTGTCTGCCAGGGACAGGTCTTCACCTTGTGGCAGGGTCTGTGCATGACTATCGCTGGCATCTGTGGCCGGGCTCAGGTGGCAGGGGATGATGTCAGCAGGCAGTTTCCAGGACACCTTACGGAGATCCAGGTCCGAACCAACTAGCTGGACATGCTTCCAGCGTGAGCCTTCCGTAATCATGTGGGGAAGCAAGCAAGGCACAGAGGATGTGTGTGCTGTCCATGCTCAACTTAATTCCCAGAAAAATGAGAATTCTGTTATTAACTACTAACCCTGATGTCGCTGCAAACCCGTATGACTTTCTTGAATACAAAAGCAGATGTTAGGCAAAATGTTGAGGCTGCGTTTTTTTATATAATAAAAGTGAATGTGGCTACAAAGCTTAAAAACATCATAAAACTACCATAAAAGTAGTTCATATGATTTTTTTTATTTCTTTGTGAAATGTAATTGCAAGTGTATTTGGTCAATGTATATTTCAAGTCTTCTGAAGCCATGTTCAGCAAATATCAACTTGTATTTTGGTCTGTTTCTCACACAAAACTATCATATGGCTTCAACAGACTTTGAAAATAGTCTGCAAGCAATATGGACCATAATTATGGTAGTTTTATGATATTTTTGAAGCATCCGTCCATTCACTGTGATTTTATGGAAAAGATCTGCATCTCCTTCTGTGCTCCATGGAAGTAAGAAAGTCATACAGTATGCAACAACCTGAGGGAGTAAATGATGACAGAATTTTCATATTTGGGTGAACTGTTCCTTTAATAACTTGAGTTAGGCAAAGAAGGAAAGAAGAAAGGGTGGGAAGCTGATATCTTCTGAGCCCATCCACGATGCTACCAACATTTAGCAAGGCCAAGTCAACAGTTTGATCATTCTTGCCAAATATGAGCCGAAGAAGCCCAAACTTTACAGCTGCAACATTCCCTGAACGCTGCACAAACAATGTGTTCAACTTCCATAAAGAGCCCAGTCACCCAGTTTTACAAAGCCCTAAGGAAAGAAAAAGACATTGTTCCATGGCAAAGGCAAGTGATTGTGGGGTCTTCAATGGATGCACAGGGGACTAGAAAGAGCCTTTCGATTTCAACAGGAGCTGCATACGAATGATGTAAAGACATCATCCTGTTACACTGCAGATGAAGGCAGACCATGACCATGTCTGACTGCTACTGACCAGTAGTTTCTAGAGGTCAACATAGCACAAAAAAGCTTTCGAATGCTTGAAACAATTCTACCAACATGTTCAGGCATGCAATACAGTCAAGAATTGACATGTTTTGAAAAACTTGTTTTAGTTCCCTACTATCCCTGATGAAAAGACCACCACTGTCAGGATGCCTGATCATTCTTGCCAAATATGAGCCGAAGAAGCCCAAACTTTACAGCTGCAACATTCCCTGAACGCTGCACAAACAATGTGTTCAACTTCCATAAAGAGCCCAGTCACCCAGTTTTACAAAGCCCTAAGGAAAGAAAAAGACATTGTTCCATGGCAAAGGCAAGTGATTGTGGGGTCTTCAATGGATGCACAGGGGACTAGAAAGAGCCTTTCGATTTCAACAGGAGCTGCATACGAATGATGTAAAGACATCATCCTGTTACACTGCAGATGAAGGCAGACCATGACCATGTCTGACTGCTACTGACCAGTAGTTTCTAGAGGTCAACATAGCACAAAAAAGCTTTCGAATGCTTGAAACTATTCTACCAACATGTTCAGGCATGCAATACAGTCAAGAATTTACATGTTTTGAAAAACTTGTTTTAGTTCCCTACTATCCCTGATGAAAAGACCACCACTGTCAGGATGCTGTGTGCTGGTGTCCCTTTTTCCAAGAACTGCATGGCAAACCAGTTTACCCATTCTGGTTGAAATTTATCCTGGTCTTTTCAGCAAGGATATGCAGCAGACACACTACTGGTCAAATTAGGGGCCGGCAAGATTTTTATGTTTTTGAATAAAGTCTCTTATGCTTAACAAGGCTACATTTATTTGAAAAAAAATACAGTAAAACAGTACAATTATGAAATATCATTTAAAATAACTGTTTTTCATTTTGATACAGTGTGCTGGTGTCCCTTTTTCCAAGAACTGCATGGCAAACCAGTTTACCCATTCTGGTTGAAATTTATCCTGGTCTTTTCAGCAAGGATATGCAGCAGACACACTACTGGTCAAATTAGGGGCCGGCAAGATTTTTATGTTTTTGAATAAAGTCTCTTATGCTTAACAAGGCTACATTTATTTGATAAAAAATACAGTAAAACAGTACAATTATGAAATATCATTTAAAATAACTGTTTTTCATTTTGATATACTTAATGTAATTTATTCCTGTAATCCAAAACTGAATGTTCAGCATCATTACTACAGTCTTCAGTGTAACATGATCCTTCAGAATTCATTCTAAGATACTGATTCGGTCTTATTAATATCAGTGTTGAAAACAGTTGTGCTGCTTAATATTTTTGTGAAAACTGTGACACTTTTTTTCAGGATTGTTGGATCAAAAGTATGTTCAGAAGAACAGCATTCATTTGAAATTTTTGTAATATTATAGAAGTCTGTCACTTTTGACCAATTTAATGGATCCTTGCTTAATTAAAATATTAATTTCTTTCTTACTGACCCCAAACTTTTGAACGGTGGTTGTGTACATTGATTCCAATGTGTTGCAACTGCACCACATCACAAGAAACCCACCTTCAGTCAGATCTGTGACACTAGGCCTCTGGCTACCCGTTGGGGATCGTAGTACTTCATTACTGTACATCAGATAGCTGTCATATTCATCTCCAGCTTCTGCATCCACAATGGGAATGTCGGGAATGATGGGAACTATAGGAGTGATATAAACCAGAACAAACAACACAATCAATTCACAGTCTGTACGATTGTTTATTGAACAATTGTTCAGTCCAAACTTGAGTTCGATTCCACCCCATTTTTGTGAGACGCTTACTTGACATGGGTCTGGTAGGTTGTGTAGCCAGGTTGATTGTGGCATCTCTGTACGGGCCCCAGCCCACCTTATTGCGAGCGCGCACTTTGTAACAGTAGGTCTGAGAAGGCTGTAGGTTCTCGATGAGCAGCATGCGCTTTTTGGGGTTGTCAATCATTACCTTCTTAGAAGGTCCTATAGGCTCTGAACAGAGAAAGAAATATGTGCAGTCAACTGAGCACTAATTGTTACAATATTGACAAACAGATGCTATAAAAAGTATTTTAAGACTCCTACTCTTGTTCTCGTTGATGGGTGTGTAGATAACTTCATATGAAGTAATGACACCATTCGTCTCTGCTGGCTCCGCCCAGCTGACCTGAGTGACAGTGGGGCTGATGACATTGAAAGCCAGGCGACCAGGTTCACCAGGTACTAGAGGGGTAAAATAATGCAGATGGCCATGTTTGTGAGACAGAAACTTCAAAAAGCATCAATTGGTATGCCAGAAAAAGCCAAGTATGAAAAGTATGACATGCATGCTTCTTAAAAAGACCATTAAATTTAAAAAGTCCAGAGATTGACTTACCATCCTCTAGAGTCTGGCATTGAATGATATCACTGTAATTGCCCTCTCCGAGTGCATTGTAGCCACATATGCGCATCTCATAGTCGCAGTATGGGTAGAGATTAGTCAGCTCGGCTTGAGGAGTCTTCACATCCAGCACCTGAGCATCAGCCTCAGGGTCTCCATAAATCCAGTACTTCACCTGGAAACAGCAAATCACAGCACAAAGGACAAGTTTAACAGCTTTTTCTACAGCCTTTTTTGCCAAGCAAGTGTTTACTGAAATATTAATTTCATTAAAATACTGCAACTGGGACTAAAAAATAGCATGAGATCTATGCTAACATGACAACCCACAGTGAATAATCTCCTACTAGCCTGTATGTTTCACAAACACTACTGTTCAAAAGTTTGGGGTCAGGATTTTTATTTTTATTTTTTAAGAATTTTTTAAAGAATGATTATAATTCAGCAAGGACACATTAAACTGATCATAAGTGACAGTAAAGACATGTATGCTACAAAAGATTTATATTTCAAATAAATGCTGTTCTTTTGACCTTTCTATTCATCAAAGGATCCTGGAAAAACTGTATCACAGTTTCCACAAAAATATTAAGCAGCACAACTGTTTTTGAGATTGATAATAAATAAGAGAGATTCTTTGCAGCAGATCAGCATATTAGAATGATTTCTGAAGGATCATGTAAAACTGAAGGCTGCTGAAAATCCAGCTTTGCCACCACAGGAATACATTACATTTTAAAATGTATTAAACCAGAAAACAGTTGTAATAATATTTCACAATATTACAGTTTTTACTGTATTTTTGATCAAATAAATGAGCCTTGGTGGGCCTAAGAGACTTCAAAAATGTTTAAAAATCATTAATTTAATCTTTTAATTCATATATACGGTATTTATACTGCATATGAATCAATGTTTTATATATTGTATTCAACGTGTCTAAAATAGCACAATTAAAAACAGCACAATTAAACTCATTTCATACGCTAATAATCCATGAATAAAGTCACTCTATGACTTATAAAGCTGACATTTTCTCCTGTCACATTCCTGGCTTTTGCAACTACAAATTTAAGTAAACACCATCTCATATTGGTTAACGCTGTGTAAATATTGAAGCTTTTACACATTTTAAAATCAGTTAACAGGATCAGTGGTCAGAGGCAGATGTTTTGAATAATCGCTTTGGCTTGACTGGACGTCTTCGTTTATGAGTAGTTTTTTAAAAGTTTATTTACTAAACTTTATAGAGGTAGTAAATATTGAAGCTTTTACACATTTTAAAATCAGTTAACAGGATTAGTGGTCAGAGGCAGATGTTTTGAATAATCGCTTTGGCTTGACTGGACGTCTTCGTTTATGAGTAGTTTTTTAAAAGTTTATTTACTAAACTTTATAGAGGTAAAAAAATAAAATAAAAAACAGACTATACACACTAAATAATACAAAAACGGATGCAATTTTGTAACGTGTTATATCAGATATCATGTTACGCAACCTACCTTGTAACCACTGGCATTTGCACTGGGGTTCCAGTTCAGGCGGATGTTTTTAGGGCCAGAAGCAACAGCTTTGATGTTGGTTGGGGCATAGAGCCGTCCTCCAGGAGATGTGGCTGACTGATTCACATATTCCATTTTCTGGAAATCCATTTTCCCACCCCCTGATATGAAATAATGCAAATATTAAGTAACACTCAACATCTGCAGATTACAGGAGGGTTCGGAGTTTTCTCATGAAACATGAACTAAAGTAAAAAAGTAAAAAAAAAAACAATGAATAATTTTGCCTTTACAGTTGCTTACAAACATGGACTCCAAAACTGACTCTAAACGCTGTTTTCTCACCTCTACCATCGATGACGTTCACCAGCGTGGTTTTCTTCTCTCCAATGATTGCATTGTTGCTTGGGTCGAATAGTTCCAGTTGAAAGGTCTCAGGTATAATGGGAGATGGATACAAACGAGGATCAATGACGATGTTCTTTTCCGTCTCGCCAGGAACAAATTTGAGAGGACTGGAGAGGTCGAAGCGTGAGGCTTTGTTTGTGCGCCAGTACACAGTGGTCGGACCCTCCTGGTTTCGAGTGCGTACCACAGGGATGGAGTAGAGCGGGTCAGTTGTATTGTAAGTTTGAGTACTCTTCTTAAACATCAAAACACTGGGTTCTGTGAGGACATATAAGACAATTCAAATTTAGGTTAAAGAATTACAACAAATTATACTTTTAAATCTGTTAGCCTGATATATACCTGGTTTATCTGCGATGGTGATAGTGGTGCGTGGGTAGCGGCCCAGTTTAGCACCTTGCCGTGGGTTGCTCAGATCCATCACAAACTGTTTGACTTGTTTGTCCTCTTGCAGTCCATCTCCCTCCCCAAGCTCCAAGAGTTTCACTGGGACTGTCTTCTGTGTTTCCCCTGGTCCATAACTCAAGTCTCCATCAACTGAGATATAGTCCTATGAAGAGAAAGGAAAAATCAACGCACAATCAAACAAATGAGAATGACTTCATGACTTTTTTCAAACAAAGACATATCCATATCACTTATTTGGAAATTGTTGTAGTCTCATTTTATTAGAGAAAATCAACTCAATTTAATCAAATTTAAATACAGAACTTGTGGTGAAACCCAAGTTGTCGAGTTAGTGTATTTTACCTTCTTGTCTTTGGCAGTGAGGTCACGGGTGCAGTATGTGACCTGTGTCCGTCCATCCTCTATGATCTCACGACTGATCGGGATGTTTGCTACACCCTCTTGACGACTGTAGGTGTATGACGGCTGCAGGAAGGTAAAGATGCTCTTAGCTGTGTGAGAATAAATAAACACAATCAAAGATTTTGCAACTTAATATCCACTTTAAAAATATTTTGATATCAAAAATGCTTGTTTTAAGATAAATCCTCACAAAATTTGGCTGAAAAAAAGGGGTAATAAAACACATTCTCTGTAAACATGTTTTGTCAGATTTTTCTTTTATTATTTCATGAGTTTGCACTTACATATAATCAGATTGAGCAAATAGTATGCATATTTGGCATGCTGGCCGAGGGGAGGGCTCCGAGTTCGGAATTTAGCCTGAACCCAGAGACCTCCCCCCATTTCCCAAGCTGGGATAGGAATAGTTAGGAGTAAGGAGTTGGGATGGAGGAGGGATTCCAGAAAACTGTTGTAGGACAAAGGTAAGTAGGCTGAATATATACTTACTATTGTGCTAATTGGTTGATTATCTAAACATGCCCCTCCCGAACTTTGATAATAAAATATCATTAAAACTTCTTACCATGTTCCTTAATCACAGTGATGTTGACATGATCTTTGCTGATCTTCGCAATTCCAACTGGAACGTCAACGGCTTGAACAAGCAGCTCCTTCTTTTCATCATCCTCATCTTTCATAAAGAGGGGAACCCGGACATCCACTGACTCCACGCCCTCCTGAAACTCCACAGCACCTGCCGCTTCTACAAGACAGACAAGGACATGGACACATAAACATTAAATTCACATAACAAACCCAAAGCGTTACAACTGACTGCAAACTAATGCAGCAGGTATTTTGGAGTAAGCGTGTTGTTAAAGGTCTGTGGGTTGTGCAGGGTGTCTGTACCTCTGTCAGTAGCTACGGTGTAGTAGCCTGGAACCACTTTCAGGTCCCGGAAGTTTCCAGCCTGAACCTGTTTATCTGTCAGTTTCACTATATCTGGGTAACTGGCACGAGGGGCAGATAAAACCGTGTCTACAATCGTGTTGTTCTGTCTGTGGATGCAAATGAGAATTATTATTGTTTCTCTTCAAGTTTTCAGATTTGTAGTCCCTATACAAATCAGTAAATCTAACAAAGAAATATCCAGTTCATATTTTAATTACGATTTAAATATTTTAAATATTTAATATTCTAATAATAAAATGTTTTGTGAGATTTATCCTAATCAATAATCTCAGACTTAATGCGACATGCAGTATTTTGTCAATGCTAGCTCAGCTATAGCTACAGTACCTCTTTCCAGAATTTCTTTGTGTCCTGAGGGAAAATAAAAAGAATAACAGTACATTCAGACACATGTCAAAATCTGAGCCTCATCCAACTTTAGAAAAAACTGCCCACAAGGCACAGCCACGCCAACTTTAATGAGTCATTGAGAGCTACTTCACACCTGAACAGAGTCTTTTGCACTCTCTGTGCGCCAGGGATCTGCAGGAACACGTCATTGAGCTGTTTATGAAAAACAAAGAGATATTAGCAGTCAGGCATGATGGTTCATGTGCAAGAAGTTGTTTCTTTTTTTTGGTGGTGGGAGGGGG